ACACACACACACACACACACACACACACACACACACACACACACACACACACACACACACACACACACAGATAGAGACTGCCCCCTCCCTCTGATCTACCCCTGGTGCCTTTAATAATTGGGGTAGCACAAGCAAAGTCAGGCCTGATCTCTGCTTTAACTGCTTTAATAGATGGAACTGAGAAAAGTGGTACGTTTCAGCTTCCACCTTGTCTTGTTTTTATTGTTTGTTATTTTTTTGTATTTTTTAAAAGGAGATGATTCTCATTCTGTTACTGTACATTCATTCATCTGTCTATCGGCAGAATAACAAGCACGTTTAGAAATGAGTGCTACAGACTAGAAACAACCTAAATGTTGCTATCATCTGCTAATGGAGATAGTGATCAATAGGCAACAACAAAGGCAACTTAGCCAGAGCCTGCATCTCATAAACAACAAAACACTCCAGCAGAGGCATACACGGCTGCTTTTTGCAACGCCCAACCAGTGAATTATTCAAACACGTAACAGAGATGGTGGATTAACATACTGAAGAACACTTTAAATCAACCAACAAAGGTGTGGAAGACAGTAAGCCAGATGATGAGCTCAGGGGCTTCAGAGGAGCCCCGACTTCTATGTTAAAGGGAACTTGCTAAGGGTTTAATGCTTTATCAGCTCACAGATAGACATGTAGACAGAAGGGACAGCAGTGGCTGCTGTAACAGGAATAGGCTTCAGATTAATTTCAAGTGGATTATGGCATTTTACACAGTCTCCTTTGAAGATAATAGTTCATAAAATGATCAGTCAACATGGTGTTAAGTCAGTTACTTCACTTTGTCATTTTCTGTCTCCTAATCTGTCAGTGGACCTTCACGTGCTGAGGCCGGGAGTAAGATTCACTGACAAATGTAGCCTATGTTGGTATTTGCATTTTCAGCAATAAGATCTCGTGCATTATCCCGATTTGTGATCATCAATAACTGCCGGGCGCTACCTTATTATGCATATTATATGCCAGCCGCTGCCTCTAAATTAAATTACAGGAAGATGAAGTTGTTGTTGTCGGGTGCAGCGAGCAGATCTCTACATGCGGTGCACAGGAAAAGCTGTGAGAGACGCAGTCTGGATGGAACGGATTGGTAAACGTGGCCGACGGATGAGACACATTGGTATTCAGCTGCTCTTCGCCGCCGGCTGAAAATGCCCACGCTTGGCTTCAGGGTCAGAGGTCCAAGGTTGATTGGCAATGGGCTGACATGGGAAAATTGATTGTGCTGACTGGAGTCTAATGGGGTTGGAGCGCACAGACGTATCAGCGTGTCTGACATGTTAGCAGTGCCACAGCCTCATTCTTACCCTCACGCACCTGTATTCTTACAGGTTGTTCTCTAATCTTTTAACCCCTTGTCAGACACCTCTGAGATGTCTTACACGGCAGCACTGCAGCACACAGGCCCCCTCTTGTTCTGTCGCTCTCATGCTGAACTGTTTCCCTTGCAACAACGATTGCTCTGCCTCATTCGCTTTCAGCTATACCTCCCAGCTCCTTACGACTCCATAACCTCTGCTGCCCGCCAACATGCCCAAATGCACTCGACCAGAGAATCGCACAAAAGTGTGATCTCTCTCTCTCGCTTTCTCCCACCCATCTTCTCTCTCTGTCTCTTTGCTACTCTCCCTTCCTTTCCAAACACCTCCACCCACTCATACACACGTTTATTTACTCACAGCCGCACACGCACAATACACATCCTCCAACAAACAAATGCGCGCACATAAATAAACACACAAATCTGTGGTTATTTCTTCAGCATTTATCATCACCCATACTGAGTTGTCTTCGGCTTGCACTAAAATACTGTATTCACACTTTAATTCCTGTTTGCAGCCAAATAACCCTTGCTCTGCACCAGCATTGTGGCAGCAATGTATTTGCAAGGATGACAGCACCAAAAAGATTACTCAGAGCATCCCTAAGTAATGACACGAAAAGTAATCCGCTGTCAGCTCGTAGCTTTGTGCAGAGTGGGAGTTTTTACAGAAGCAAAAGCTGGGAAGTTTAGAGGAAATGTTTTTTTGGGCTGTGTGCATCACAGCCCATCATATCTCGTTCCTCAGCCCACGTCAGAGTGAATTATTTAGCATTTATTTTTGCATTAGCTGATGCACTGGTGTGTTTGGACACAAAAGAAAGCAAAATGTTAATTTGCGTATTAGACTCCACCATCTGTCACAAAATCTTGTGTACCTTTTTGGAAGATGGAAATCCCATTTAGCCGTTATCGGAGCAAATTCACTCAGTGACGCAAACTTTGCGTTTTTAACAAAAGAATAGCTGTAAGTTAGCTGCTAATTGTTTTTGGTAAATACGACAGATTTTTGTTTGTCCAAACTGATTTTTGGTAATGTTACTTTTAACGGGGAAAAATGATCCCGTCTGCCGCTGTGATTGCTGGTCTGATTAAATTTACATTTGCTAAAATTTTAGTTAGTTGGTTCCAAATGAATTAACAGCAAATTCAATTGTCTTTTTTATGTTACTCTAGCTTTTAATGGACTCTGTTCAATTCTATTTCATTTATAGAGCGTCAAATCACAACAACAGTCACCTCAAGCTGCTTCCTCCAGGACATATAGGAAGGAGGGGGCAACCTCCCTAACTTGCCCCCCACCCCCAATAAATAATGATTAAATGCAGAGTGGTGTATAAACACATAGTGAGTAATGAAAGGGGAATGAAGAAGAAATACACAGTGCATCGCGGGAAGCCTAACCCTAAAAGTAAAGAGGGTGTTTGTCTCCTGAATCCCAAACTGGGAGCCTGTTCGACAGAAGAGGAGCCTGAAAGCTGAAGTCTCTGCCTCATACTCTACTTTTAAATATCCTAGAAACCACAAATAAGCCAGCAGTCTGAAAGTGAAGTGTTCTGTTGGGGTAATGTGTTCTATGAGGTAGAGTGCACTCCAATTCATCTGGCAGATTTAGTAAATGTAGCGATGACATAACCCCAATAACTACCTCCCACCACCACCATAAGTTGTATACCCAACCAGTCACTGGTTGAAGGGTACATACAATTTCACTCAGCTGAGGTTTCATTCAACTTTGCCTTCAACAGAGCCTACTCACTACTATCCCATTGAAGCTCTCAGGCTTGGTGGCTGTCCCACATGATTATGGTAATCGCAGCTGTACTTTAGTATTAATGCAGTCGTGATTTATTGATGTTAAAATGCTATTTGTGGCCCCTTTAAGTCTTGATCCTTTGATGTCCTTTGACATTTTGAAAACACTTGGACATGGGGTGTGTTATGTAACGTTTATCACTCACTCCCTGTTGGAACCAATTAATATAAAGCAGTAGAAATACTAAAATATAAATTAACTTTGTGTCCACAAAATCTGCATGGATTATTCATTAACCCCACCAGGGAGATTACAGCTGATTTTCAGCAATGCTTGTAGCTGTCAGGGCTGCTAGCTGTGGATTTTTGACACTTAAGCACACATGGGTCAGAGAGCATCCTGCTACTTAAACAACAGCACGTAACACACACAACATCAGCATCTAAAGTATTTGGCAATCCCAGGGCCGGCTCATCTTTTTTTACAAGGTACTCACACTTATCTGACGAACTGAAGAAGTATGTGATCCCCAGGGGTATGCGCGGACCAAAAGGAGCACTGGCATGGAACAACAATGTCAGCATATTCAGACGCAGGAGGTCCAACAGGGAGGAACCATGAAAACTTTGCTGGCTGTCCAGTGCTTACAGAGCTTCAGGAAATCTGGGAGCATGGGGCTTGTGTTTTATTCATGGCGCAGAAAACATAAAAAGGATAGCTAACAAAAATCCTACATCGAGGTAATTTGAGGAAGCGAAAGAAAGAAAACTGCAACATATAAAGTAAATAAGGGAAGGGGAGTCGGGGAATCTGAGAAGGAAGTGATGAATACGCAGCAAATTAAAGAGTGTACAGAGTATAATGAGGGAGCTGTTACATACAAAGCATGGATGGAGGAATAAAGAGAAGAAATGTTAATAGAAAGAGTCTTTAGGTGATTCTAAATCAGTTTCCCCTCCAGGAACCTGAGTATGTTGGACTTTTATAGGGGCTTTTGTTCTTTTGTTCTAGAGTTTATTCCAAAAACAACTGCCTGTTTTGAGATGAATTATTTGTCAGAAAAAACAAAAACAAAGCCTAACTATTTTCACAACTTCTCCTGATCATCTCTCATCTTCCTCTAAGGGAGGAATAAATGTATGGCACAGAACACAAAAGCCTACACAGTATGAAGAATTAAACGTTATTCTAATATGATCACCAGTGCTTTACAACCACAATCAATCTACAAAGAAAGTACACGAATCTTCCGTGACATTATTAACCTATGAACTGACAGACTATTATCCTTATCCCATCACCATAATGCCAGTTTGCATTTTGTGTAATCTTGTTGTCTTCAATTGGAAATACATTACCTTCAAGCATTTAGAAATACGCCAGCAAGCCAGATATACATGATTGGGGTCAGGACCCCCCAGAAATAATCTGCTCTTGGCATTTCTATTTTAAACGCAGATTAATCAGACAAGAGTTCAGGGTGCTGACTGGGAGGCAGAAAACTCTGGACTATTTTTGCAGTATGGAAATAGCTGGGAAGGGGGGAAGTTTGTAATTTGGTTTGGATTGCTTTTTAGGACTGACTAAGGCCTATGAGTCTGGTGTTAAGTATTTGGTCCATCCTCTGAAGCTCACACTTTTCTTAGCTTTGCACTGCATGATTGGCATCAATATTATACATGTTTATAATGCTAATAATCAATGTTGGCTTCAGTATTACAAGCCTGTAGCTATTTAAGGCTGCACATCTGCAGTATACATTCATGGCAGAATCCCAGATTTTTAAACAGATATAACAACTATATTTATATACATAGTTCCCGCTCCTAAAATATAGATATATGGAAGCCAATTACAAATGTAATTTATGTCTGGATATAAACTTATGAGAAACTGTTTATTAAAGTATAATATTTAAGAATGTTAAATTCAAAACCCACTTCTAAACTGCAGGTTTATACACAATCAAAATAAGAATTATTTTAAAATCTGCATTTACATGTATCCAACTTGGAGTCTACTCAAACACCAGGTAACTCCTGTTAACACGGGATCATTATTTGCTCCCTAACTAATGAGGCCATTTAAGTCTTTGGGAACATTCTGCATGTTCCCTTATTTCTCAAAGGGTCTCTACAGTGAATGTATCCACATGTTTGATTTGGCACAGATTTTATACCATATTTTTTCAGGGGGGGTTGTGACCCCCAGAAGCAGTAATTCGTGTGTTCGAGTGTAAGATAAATGTGTGAACCACTATTATGAATCATCACAATACAGTTACAGAATACTAGCAAGTCATTTTTAATGCTCTACCCGCTGTGTTATGTCCATCGTCAACCGATTTTATTTATCGTACATTTCATAGCCGATGTGTAACTGATTTTAGTATAATGAGTCATAAATTTATACATACATGGGAGCCTTCTGAGCTTTATATGGGTAGGAGGCCTCAGCTTATCAGGATCAGACTGTGACAGTAATGACACCCCAATGATCTCTATAAACAATGTAGTGATAAAAATCAAATTAGGTGGACAGAGAACACATGGACACTGATGGTGGAGGTTGATATTTTTAGTAGATGGAAATTTCTATGATGTACTGCTGTTAATACTCCAGTGTGTGTGTGTGTGTGTGTGTGTTCATGTTACTTTATGTGTCTAGAGCAAGGAAGCAAATTAAACTTAATTGAGTCGTCTGCAGGGTGCACCTCTCGACAAGCAGAATGTTGTAAAATTTGTTTCTGCCGAGGAAACGACAGCTAAACTTTGATCTGATGCGAGCGAGATTTGAGTAACTGCTACCTGCTGGTACATGACAAATAAAATTCTCCTTCCAAGTTTTCCACTGACTCTAAAAACGCTCCCCGTCTCTATTGCTGTTTCTTTTTCCTCTAGGTCTCAGAGTGCTTAATGCCATTAACTCCTTCACTGACATAAACCAGTCACCGAGGAGCCTCTTTCACATCACTCTTTCATCTCCCTGCTGTCACCGAGAAGCTCCTTCCACTTTTTTACCCCTGCTGATTATGGAGAATCTCAGTGAACTCCAAAATCCATTGCTGGACAAAAACAGTAAACACATGATCAATGGTTACGGAGGAGAATTCCCCAACAATCATTACCAGGAAAACATTATAAACTACTTCGCTGGAGGAGGAGGTGGAGGAGGTGAAGGTGGAGGAGGAGGAAAAGTGAGTAATGGCAATGCAGTGAGCGGAAGTTACAATACCAACGGGAAGGTGAAATCCCAGCAGTTTTTGGATGCCACCTCGCTACATCTGGCAGTAGAAGCCTTCTACAGACCCAATTTCATCCTATACAAGGAGGACAGTGGCAGCATTAAGGCTAAGGAATACAGAAATGAGTGCTGTGAGACCACCTTCACTGAGAAAAAGGCAAAGGAGGTGTCCAACACAACAGGGGCAGACACGCCCAGCACGGAAGAACCCCAGACGAAGCTGCTGGAGGACGGCGAACACATCAAGATCCAAACGGTTTCCTATGAGGTGGAGGAGGAGGAGTATGTGGAATATGAGGTAAGGGCAAAAAATGCATTCAGCATGGAAAGACAATGCATGATAGAAAGCTTGCATTATTTTAGATACTTTTTAAAATTTGCTCCGTTCTTAACAAAAAGCACGTAGAACTAAAATTAAAATAGAAGAATCCAAAAGTAATAAAAAAAATGAACTTGTTTAGCACCTTTCAAGAAACCCAAGGGTGTTTACATGCTTTACAAAAGTATATAAGTAAACAAAAAGGCTGGAGGGTGAACGCTTTGTTGAAGAGATTATTTTTGAGAGGTTCCTTAAGAGTTCAGTGTGGGGTGTTTCAAAGTTCAGATTACAGAGAGTTCCAGAGGGTGGGGCCTGCCACACTGAAGGCTCTGTCCCCAGAGGTGTGGAGGGTGGTGCGTGGGACAAAAGCAGGCCCATTGCATTAGAGACTGTTTGTATGGGTGCAGCAGGTCAGATAGGTACCGAAGGACCAGAATGTTGAGGGATTTGTAAGTGAATTGTACCGAATAGTACCATATACATAATATTTTAATATACATATAAATTTCAGTTCAGTCATTCATAGACGCATGTGCAGTTTCGTAGGAAAAACCCAAAGCAGGCAGCTAATGTGGGTGTGCATGTGTTTCTGTTAATTGACAGCAAGCTTGCTTGTATTCCTGTGGTAGATCTGCATTTATATCATCACACCAAAGGATTGAGCTTAGCTCCTGGATCAGTCTGCCATTTTTGCTAAACACAAATCCATTTGATCCACTGACCTTGGCCTCAATTCCCAACTCTTGTAAAATTCATCGTTAGATAATAATAAATCACCCATGTCTGCCTCACACAGGAATATTAGGTACCACAGCTTTAGCCACAGTATTTTCACTCTCAACCGACATGACCAATAGCACAAAGCACTCCAAAGGATTTAGGGGATTGGACTGGTGGAATAGGGTGTTAAGAGTCGACCAGTGTCCTGCAACGCTTAATGGACTGGCTGCCACACACCTGAGTCCACTAGAATGAACCTGGACTGCAGTGATAAACATGCAGCTGCAGAAATGCTGCGTGAAATGGGTATATATAGCTCATAGAAATAGAAGCTGGGGAAGGGAGGAATGTAAATGATTAACTGAGCTCATCCTGGCAGGATGAGCTGAGGAAAAAATTTGATGTGCAAATGTCAAGAGCAAATAAAATCCAGATTTTCTGATGTGAAGGTTTATTCCATTGTAGTTGTAGATTTGCACACAAAATAAGAGCGAATACATGAGTTACAATTCTTACTGAATTCACACAAAGTCTCTATTCATAGACTTCTAGAGGTTCCTTTTAACCCACTCAAAGGTTAAGCGAACACATTACCATATAGTTCATATTTTTCCACACACTTCCTTTTTAAAAATGAACAAGTGCTTAAAAAAGCATCATCAGGCCCCACAGCCAGATTTGAGATGTAAAAGAGGCAAATACACAGTGGGACTCATTATGTAGCCTCCCAACAGGAGATCATTGACACCACAAAGTGTGTGGTGTCTCTACCACCAGGCCCACAGTCTGACACAATGTGCAGAAGGAAGACTAGAAAGCCCCTACACTGACATGCAAAAACTCGTCTGTGTCTACCATTCGAAACACTGCCATACAGGATGTATTTGCAATGTAACTAGCAAACAGCTACCAATCAATAGCATATTGATTTGTTCTCTCATGCAAAAAAAATACACATCAGTAACTTGCACAGAATGCAAGTTACTAGTTTTTGTATTCTTCACTGCCTTTGCTAGCACTCTGCTATTGTTTTTATGTACTTTTATTCCAAACAGTAACCTGAAAGTAACAGCAGGACTGTGGCTATGGACAATAAAAAACACATGGATTTAGCTTATAGGTTGTAAAAATAGATCCAATATCAAAGTGCCTTATAACTTAATTCTGTCTAAAGGCCTTAAAATGGGAATGGGTCTATGGAACGTATATAGGAAAACCGCTTTTTGGCTTGACCTTTATATAAACACTCTCTCTCTAAATTTCTTACTTACTTTATTGGCTTAGTCAAATTTGGGTCACACTGAATTAAAACAATTTGAGCCTATTTTGCAAGTCTCGGCCTTAGTGTGTTTCAAAATGAACGACTATCTGTGGTAGGAAATTGTATGCTTATTGGCTAATAACTTGCCAGTATCAAGTTGTTAGCTCGTGAGCATGCAGTTTTCAGTCAGACTAGGGCCTCCTCGTCATGTAATTTCTTTTCATTGTTTCCAACCAAGATGATGATGGCAGAAACTCCCATATTGAGGCTCCAAAACCGATGGGTAATATCACAGCACCTATACCCACCTTTTATACGGTCTATGATTTTGACTCCCATATAACAACCCATATAAATCCCATATAAAAAGTTTGTTCTTTAGAGATCGTAGCAGAAACTCAACAGGGTGCCTTTAATGACCCACCTGAAACTGAAAATCCTAAATCCTAAATGTGAAGAGGTACTAGATTATTTTGTGTAGCACATGTGGACTTTTAAGGCATATTGTGAAATATGAAAAATACAGTTTGCCTAATGTAACACAATTTTATTTGTTTAAAGCATAACATGGGTGCCAATTTGTGTGACACTCTGCAAGCGCTGCCATATATTAGCATCCTTTGTTTTAGGCACTAGGTCTTACATGACCAATGCTCAACTGATCCAAAATCCAGCCTCGTTTCCTTTCACAATGTGATTACAAAGAAGAAGAAGAAGTTTTCCTTTTCCTTTTTTTTTTTTTTTTGTTTACTCCACATTGACTTTTTGAAGTTTTTAATCCTTTTATCTAGTCTGCTTCTCTTTATTTGCAGCTCCTCCTTAGTGAGTTGTATTGATTTAATAAAGGGATCAGTAAGGTGTAATGGTTTTTGCCTGACTCAGCTGAATAGAGCAATGAGAAAAGAGTTTTTCTCTATGGTTTCTTTCTTTCTTTTAGAACCATTGGTATTGCTTAACCAAAACTACTTCTTTTGCGATGTCTAATCCATAATCATCATTATTCCTGTGACCAGGAATGATACCACCAGTGTAAAAAGCATATTATCTGTAAAGTTTCTGAATTACTAAAACTAATAACTAGAAAGCTAATCAACCAAACTAAGCAACAAAAAAATTTGCAGGCTTATAGAACAGCAAACATTGAAGTGCAGTGCTTCCGACTACATAATGTGATCTATGTCTGCTTGAAGCATGATTCTGGTGATTAGAGTTATGGTATTTTTGTCAGCTTGGTTAAGATTTGGACAAAAGCCTTTTTACTGGTGTGCTGGACCTTAATACTACTGTATGTGCCGGTTTTATATAAAGACAGAAATATGAATGCAAATTCTTTAGATCAAATATATAAAGCCCATTCGCTTAGAATCACTTATAAACAGACCTTTGCAGTGTTTCAGGCAGGCACAGTGTTAGCATTAGTCACAAACCCCATTCCTGGCCAGTTGGGCCCATCCAAAAACATGCTTTATAAATCAGGCAGTCTTCATTTACACAGAAAGCTGTTGGGGTCATAATTTGTGTCATTCTCTCTGCTGCCATTTTAATATCACCACCTGCCGTTTCTCTTCATTTCTCTTAATTGGATGCCATTTTGAAAAGGCTGTCAACCTGATCCACCCAATCCCAAAAGAACTAGTATAGCAGCTGATATCCTCATAGATCTTCTCACCTTTTTGGCATCATTTAAATTAGTATGAACTTTATCTGGACTGCTAGTCGTTTCCTTCACTTCCCATTTCAATCAAATGAGTTGAGATTTGCTCTTGTTGGACTTTTTTTTATTAACCAAAGTAAAATGATCCAATTTGGCAGTCCAGCTATGGGTTATTCTTAACAATTAGAAACTTACTTGTTCACTGTCATCTAATAATCATAATGGGTTTAAAAAATATATAAAGAAAGTCAAAGTTCCTGGTCTGAAAATTGAAGCTGATGTTTAAGTGTAATAAACCAGCTTTTTGATTCCTATTGTAACAGACTACAAAAAAGTAACCATGTGAGTTAATGGTCATTTTCAATTGTGTATGATATTTATTTTGTAAACTGTTTCCATTTTTATAATAGACAGCAGACTACCGTGTGTATGTTCACTGTCTGCTAAGGTTCTACCTTGGAACCATAACTCACTCATGATGTGCAATTTCAAGAAATGTGATGATGTGGTGTTACCTTGGCTATATTCTTTTCTTAATACACAGTGTTTATATACATAAGGTTTGAAGTATGTAGAATCACCAAATAAATTTAAAAGTCTAAATTTTGATATATTTTTTTAATCATATAATCCGTATCTGCATTGTGAATCGATACATCACTCATGCTAAATACAATTATCCCTTAATTGAGTGATAAACTCATTTATAGGGTTCTCTTACGTTCCCTATAGTAAACCCCAGATTGTCATGAAAGGTATTTGCCTTACCCATTACACTACACAGCCAGCTGTCTTTGCCCGCATCGCCCTTATTAAAAGCCTGGTGCCATCACATGTTTTAAACGTCTGGCGCTGCTTATAGTATTAAACGCCTGGCACCAATTACAATGGAATTTAAAATGGCAGGTGGCATTAGTACTGTAGTTTCATTCTGCTTGTTCTCTGCTTACCACATTGCCCCTACATTGGTAGCAGTTTGGCAGCTTTGGTTAATTTACTTTGTGTTCCTGACCTCGTGTTGTTGTGACGCACAGTAATGCAGACAGGGAGCATTGTTTTTTCAGCGTGGATATTGCTGTTTTTGATGGTTGCAAACAATTTCATGGTCCATTACCACAATCACCTGAACTGGATTTGGCGTAGAATGGGATTTTTCATAACAACTATATATCTGTATTAAATTTGGTCTTTTCCAAAATGTATATAGCCCTCCATCCCACATCCCTCAATTTAGTTCTCTCTTCTATGTGAGTGTTGAGTGGTTAACCTGTTAGCAGTCGGACGTACCGCCCACGGTACATTGGATGGTTTAGGGGACTAATTGGACTGCTAAGTGGTTAAGGA